GAGTCAATAACAAGACAACTTTAAAGCAAAGCACATAAGAAACACTTTCCCTTAATCCCTTAGAACTTGTCCCCGTAACATAAGTTGTATAAGCTAAGTATTCACTCGAGGAGTCTCAAGCCAAACACTTTCGCTGCCGAGGCGATTATGTCATTATTCAAAGTTTATACTCAGTACCCGTTTTTTAATTATAAACCATTATTCTTTATTTTATTGTGATTATTGTACATTGCTAGTTGTTTTATACATTGGAACGAACCGAAACCGAAAATTATAGAAAATTTATCAGGGTGTGTCATTTAAAGTACAGCAAAACTCTAAAGAATAGATCTGTTAAAAAAATATTTAATCGATATACCAAATTCGTCGTTTACCAATAGGGCTTATAATTGTGTTGTCGAACTCAATAATCAGTATGCCTACAGTAAGCAAAAACACTTTATCTTAACTGTAATCAATTTCCACTGAAGTGGAACTAACCATAGATGTGTTAAGAAGAACACCGCAGTCAATTGACTTACCTCTCCACATTGGGTGTGGTTAATAAAATATTTTTTTTCGACGTTTTTATTGCCCTACAAAACACAATTTCATTCCACTTACACAATGTTATACGAGCTATAAAAAGATATCAAAATAAAGAAAATTTATCGATTAATAAAAATACTGCTCCGCTTCTTCGTTGACATTCTAAGGCAAGGAAAATTCCATAAGGGGTCGAGTCGGAGGTCGCTTAAAGTGTACACCCAGCTTTAAATCAACAAACATCATTACATTGTTCCGATCGCAAACGAAGCATAAACATGTGTATTATGGGATCTGAAACAATTTAGTTCTACAAATCAGTGTAAATAATTACCGGTCCCCACAACAGACACATTGGTTGAATAAATTGAACAACAATTACCTTACAAACAATAACGAGAACATTTTCAAAAGAGGAGACACAAGTCTCTATATTTTATTAATTTGAAACTAGATTTAAAAATCTAAAATCGAAATGGGATTTCTACTTTCAATTCATTTATATTATATAAATAATATTTATGTTACTAGTTAGTATTTTTAACCGTTGTACTTTTTTCATTAATGTAGGTACTTAAAGTGAGACAAAGTAAACATAACTCATAATTTTACATAAAGTACATACTATAGATGATTTAGGATTATGTTCATAGCTAAATAATTCGTCTAGAAAGTTTTAATAGACATTAATGAGAGAGCTGGAAAGAATTAATCATAACTAATTCCAAATAAATAAAGCGTAAATAAACTGAAACTGATAAATATACTGAAATGTATACACATCAATTTAAAATAGGAATTGTCTAATTTGAAATAATTATTTTTAAATTAAACATACAGCGTTTCATGAAGATCTTAATCTTCTTTTCTTTATCTTGTATCTTTATTTATCTGCGTACTACGTAAACTACTAAAATTACATCAAAATCTTAATATTTTAAAGATCCCGTCAAATATGTTTTTAAATTTTTTAATTCCTATTTTGTATGGGATTTTGTACTTTTTTTTTTATAGAAACAAGAAATTGATGACGATGTTGGAAGTTTGTTATTAGAAGAATGTTAGTACTTGTAAGTACTAAATCTTTATTACCTTAAAAAATGACAACAATGAATACATTATCCATTCAATTGTATATTGGACAATATATATATTAGTACTGGCTTTTCAGTAACGGCTTCGCCCGTGCGGTCCATAGGGAAGAAGTCCACCGTTTAGTGCGATAAAAAGTAGCCTGTATAGAAGCTTAGAATAATCCGTATACTAAATTTGATCAAAATCCATTCAGTAGTTTTTGCGTGAAAGCTTAAAAAACAAACTTACATTCATCTTCATAAATTTTTGCATTAATACAATTAGTAGGATAGAGAGTGGAATTTGCATTATTATGTAGTGATGCACAAATTATATAAATCGCTCTATCAAGTCTAGAGATATAATATCGCTCAGTGTGCTATTATTGTGATTTCAATAGCATATTCTGAGACAACTTTATTATGAAACAGCAGGTAATGTTATATATGCAAAGCTACATTCGAAATTGCAAACTATAATGGTTCCGAAGAATCCTAAGAGTAGAAATCCTTCTCAAGCTTTATATCTTGATAGATAAATTCTTGTTATATTTGAAAATAATTATAAACACTGAAAAAGTTTGCAGCATTATACACGCTATAAAGTTGAAAAATTCAATGGTTAGACCAAAAGTCATCCTATAATAACCATCGGTAACTCTACCGATTTAAAATGTATTATATAAAAATAGTGGCTAAGAAGTTGCGACAAGTAATCTTTCTGCAAAAAAAATCTAGAATTGAAGATCTTATCGGCTTTACCAGATGTTTCACCTAAGAAATAACATTAGAGACGTACCAATGTATGAAACTTAAGTGAAATATTTCACATGCATGGCTATGTTTATAAAATATTGTTTGATATAAACTTTGATCAATCCCCACACTACAGGATAAAAACCATGACCAATTTTATTACAAAGTCAATATAACAGAAGGAACTGTTTATGATATTGACATATTAGCAAGTAACCCTGGTAATTTCAAAAGACAAGTACTGGATACCTTGCCCAAATAATTTGTTTAAGTATTTTTCTGTAATATTGAAGATCAATATATATATATATATATACTTATAGAAGAAAGATGGATTGAATATGACTGAATGTATTGTCAAAAAAGTATAATTTTTGATATCTATTTTTTGTTTGGTTCTCTGCCGTTTGTACCTTATAAAGACATATATATTTAATAAACATATGTTTTGAGCCTTTGCAAAGTATTGTCAATTATACTGCCAAATTGTAAGATTTTTAATTATAGTTAAATGCTCTGCTATGGATTTGAGAAAACTTAATGTGCGACCACTTTTAAGCTGGTTTTGTTTAGATCATTATGTGGTAAACGGTGTTGGTATACAATTATATCTCATCTGTTTAACTATGTATGTAAATTGTATCACTGTTTGTTTACCCGTGAAAATAAATAAATAAATAAAATATTATCAGAAAACAAACTTCACTAGTCTATTAACAAACAGATCCAATGTGCAGACGAGTCGAGGAAGTTTGGTTTGGCGAATTAATATAAGTCTAGGAGATAGTTCGTGTTCGAAAACTTGCCTCCAACTCAATTGCTTGTGATTCCTAAGATGCCGCGTCTCAGACTAATCTTAACGTTAACGATATACACATACTTGCGTCTGCTCATGACTGCGCTTGTTTGCTCGCGATTTCAGAATGAGAATTTAATTGTCAATAGAATAAACCAAGCCGTACGTGAGATCTCAACGAATTTAATTATATGTTAGAACCATATCATTATTAACCACGCTATTAATTTAAATTATTGCCAGACCACACCAAACGATAAGCTGACCGACTAGCAAATGGAATTTTGTTTCACTTTTAAACTTTAATTGAATTCGTTTCATGTTATTCCCCTTCTGTTTTGATGTCGCCTTTACACTCTCACAAACTTTAACTCCCCATAAATTGCCTGCTAAAAGTCAAGCCAGAACAGCACTTTTACGATCCACTTGGATTAAAATTCCCAACTCACTAGGCTTATTGGCCGAAGATTTTCCCGGGCCACGATAAAGTTTATTTCCCACTCAATTTATCAAGCGAAACACCTGCAGCCGACTCGGCGCTGTCGGTGGCCGCCGATCGCTTCCGACTCCAGGTCGATCGCTTCGGGAAAACTTCGGGAGCTAAACGGCACTTTATTTAGGTGCTAGATGTTAGTTTGAAATACTCAAGTTTGTTATTTAGAATTTACGATTGTTGGACGTGATCGCTTAATTTCAAATAATCGTGTTCGGTAATCAGCAGAAACTTATATTCGATAACTTATCTTCATTTCATGAGTAGAAACTTTTTTAAATAAATCATTTCAGTAAAAAATCTAATACAATGTTTGTTATTAAAATATTTTTAATGTCATATTTTGTATTCTCATCGTTATGTAAACCTATTTTATGTCTTAAATAAATTAAATAAATATACATACAATTTCATCCGCCAGCGAATGGATTTTGTTATAATTTACGTCGGTAAGGTCCAATTCGACTTGCCGAATTTCCACAATAAATCTCATAACATAGTGGATCACTAATTTCTTTGACAAATTAAACGTCAGTCGCAAAGTTCTGATCAATAAATCAAAAAGTAACTGGCCTTATCTTTCGACAAGTTACTTAGTCGTCAATATTTCCAACGATTCATCAAATTACACTATGAGTTATTGTATTACCTTGTATTCTAGTCTCGGTTCCTTCGCAACCATTCCCGTAGCTCCAAGAGGCTCGGGAGGTACCTCCTTAGGTGTTGACATACTTACACAATCTACAACATCCAACCCCACTTTACCTCGAGCTCTATAATTTTGTAGCGTCTGTTATAAAATCGATGTCGAAGAGATGAAAACTGATGTAACGATAGATCTCTTTAAACTGGACGCCTTGTGTATGATACAATAACGATATATCATACAAGGACAGCTGCCGAAAGTGAAGAATGGTCTGCCGTCGCCGAGTTAGTCCGCAAGGAGCTGAATGTAGTCGTAAACGATAAATTATTTGCGATTTTTCTGTCTTGTGAAACATTAGCAGGTAAACATTTTTGTTTGACATCTTCAGAAAGCAATGTTTGGATAAAAAGGAAATACATTTAATTGCCAGAATTTTAGAAAATATGAAATTAACAAAAAAACCATGCATACACTGGAAGAACTGTAAGTTGGCATAATTATCTATCTTTATGTATTTAGTGAAAATACCTGTGTGAATTTCAAAAGTGTATAATATATTATAAAATGTAATTACATTACTTTATCGCATTTTTTATCCTTTGTTAGCCTTTGTGTCAGCATAGTGTGATAATGGAAAATAAAACATATTTAAAAGATAATTTTTGAATTCAAAATAAAAATGTGGTATTTGATTTATTTTTTATATTTTCTTTATTCTGCCGGCGCTGCAGTTTCTTCGCCTGCAGGCGCTGCAGTGCCTTCTTCCCCTGTAGCACCTGCATCTGCTTGAGTGTCATTACCTCCATCTCCAGTTACTCCTTCCTCTATAGTACTATTGCCAGCTGCTTCCGTAACTGTCTCGTTCAAAGATTGAGTTACATTAACATCTGTAAGATTTCCATAGTCAGCCATTTCTATGGTTGTTTCCTCTGGATATTCACTTTGGAGATGATTATGATAGTCTTCAGGCTGAGCTCTGGCTACGAATATACATGTGTTGATGCATTCGTATTCGTCATGGAACATGTTGATATTTGGAAGGCAGCCTCGCCATATGCCGACCTCGCAGCGAGATCCTGGTTTCCAGTAATATAGCACTTGCTTGGGAGGTTGCCCACAGTCGTCCCATCGAAAGGTGGCAAAGCATGCTTCTGGTGGCACTGCGACATATAAATTTTTATTATAAATTCTTAAGAGTTAAAATTTTCATAAAGTTCCTTATAAGTACTGATTCAATAATGGCACTAAAAATCCTCATAGAAAAATCTTTAAAAATGTTGACAACTGAGTTGCAACTCAATGCAATATCATTGATCTATCAAGGTCTTTTGTGTATGAGTCCTTTATTTAATGCAATTTCGAATCACAGAAACTTAATCTCTTAAATGATTCGAAAGATTTCAGAAATATTCAGTGTCAATGATAGAGAATCTTGTATACTTCGGTAAGCTTCCTATTTTCCTTTCTATTCGCTAAGGCAAAGTTATTGTATCTTTTACAATGTCCAACATAGTTGCAGCACAAAAGTTATAGCCCCGTAACATTAAAAGCGGTTGATGGTGTGAATTTATATAACATTTTACACTCTTTACATTGTACTATGCTGTGTACCTGTCTTCGTTTATAGGTAAGTACATTATAAATAAGACTATATCGAGCAAAAATCTGTGTAATATTTGATACGAATATTTTTTATACATTTATCAATCATTTTCTTATTAAATAAGTCACATATATAACTGAGACCCAAAATTAAATAGATCAAATCCTGTGGTATGAAAATCTGAAGTAACAAAGATACCACCCCCACCAAGACTCGAGACAATATAGAAACAATCCTGAACTAGCAGAGCGCGCTGTATTAACTGTTCCATCGACAGTTTTTCAGGGCAATTATGTTTATTATGTCTTCCACGTAACCCATGCAACTGCGTTTATTTAACTTTTATACTATCTCTGACATTCTTATTTCCATAACCTAGCTTTGGAATCAGTACTGTTATAACGTGTAATTGTTCACTGTTGGCTACATCATTTACACATGCAAAATTTTCAATCTCAATCGCTTTGCTCAATATACCTACATCAATCGTAATCCTTACATTAGATATAGTATTGTCTCTTTAATTACAATTAAAGGAAATCTGATGTAGAATTTCATCGCCATTTACAACTAATTCCTAAGCTCAAACTATAATACTATCTGTCTTACCAGCATCTACAGTAAAAATAGAAAACACAAAAATCGTGATATAATAAAAGAAATCCGCGTCCATTTCGCTGTTTTTATGCCTTGAAATGAGGAAGGTATTAATTATTATTTTGATTAACGCCATTAAATGTAATTGGCATTTAAAACGCATGAACAGTGTTTAATATAAACACATTATTATAAATTTTATTATAGGGGCTGTTACTATGGCTGTTGTTAGTGGAATATTATTTTTCATTTCACTAGCTATCCACGTCAGTAGTCTGACCTAAAAGATAGTACATCCGAACTATATTTCAGTACGACTTTCGTTCTTATCTGTTTATTTCAAAAGCACTCTAAAAGCGTTACTCGATAAAGTTTATGTCATGTCCCCATTTCGATTGCATTTACTTTGTTGATCTCTCTATTCGATTATTGCGATATTATATCTACCCAACTCTCATCTCCATATCACACGTCAATGTTTAAGCAAGAAGTTATTGCTGGGTCAAATATCTGTTTCATGCACATCTGTCAATGTTGAATCTTCCATTTCTAAATAAAGTCATGTGGGACCAGAAAGCGTTGTATTTAAATCTATGGAAAATAGAAAACAATAAGAGGAATTAAAGAAATGTGACATATATTAGCTAATTATTAAACACCCTTGGAAGTCGTGTCCTATTTCCGAAAAGGTGCTAAGAGGTAGAGTGGGAGTTCCTGTGTTTCCAAAAAGTTTTTAATTACCAGCTTGTATCTGCAGCTACAACTTAGTAAAATATGTACAAATTCAATCGTTTAATTCCGTCTCGAGCACATGAAATTATTGAATATTTGGACATTTAATTATTTATTTATTTTGGTTCTCTAACAGCACAATGTTACATGACAATATAAAGAGAAATGGACAAAAAATACATGTCTATTGCCTTATTATGTTTTACTAGCTGTTTTCCACGATTTCATCCCGTGTAAATGATAGCCTATCACTTGCGTATCACGTAAAAAAAATCAAATCTGCCCAGCAGTTTCAGAGCCTACTCAATGCCAATAAGCAAACAATTAAATCTTTCCTTTTTAAAGTAGGTATAAGTATAGACAGAGAATAATAATTGTCTTAATCCAATTATATTATTCACGTGTAAATTTGCTCATTTCTCGGAAAAATATCTCCAAATGATTTCGTTAAATAACGTGAAACGTCTTATCACGGTGTTCTGAATTGGAATTCGATGGAGGTTTCGGTTTAGTTTGCCCTAATTTCTCGTTGTAACATGTAAGGACTAATGAAGTGATACTTAAAAGTTGAAATATTTTTTGTAGTTCTGTTTCGTTCAGAAGGAAGAAGTTCTGTATATCTGTCCGTGCGTCAGGCACAGCAAATTTATTTAGTAACAACTGAACAGATTTTGTTAAAATTTGGTTGATATAGGTATATCCCATCCTACTCAACTGATTTGGTAGCCATGTTATTTTTCGTCAAAGCTATTAAACTGTGGAACTCTTTGTCTGTGGATATTAAACACGCGCATTATCGGGACTCTTTTATAAAACAAGCAAAGAACTATTTCCTCAAGTTGGAATTTCCTTCATTTTCCTTTCACTCCGTTCCGTTTTCCTTTCTTCTTCTGGTTAAGTACATTTGTTTACTTAATTCACAAACCAGCAGTATTTTTCTTTAGTTGGTAAAGTTTTCATTAACCAAGTGTTTCATAGTAGAAATTGCTACTAAGCAAATACCAATCGATATATGGTTATATATTTAATGAAATATGCTTAAAAATACACTTGGTCCCTGGCACTCTGAGGTGGGAGTCGAACCCATGACCTTTCGCATTCCGTACGACTGCCCCAACCACTGAGCTACCCTGGACCCAACTGTTAGGTAAAAGATGTTAGGAGTAAAGTGGATTTTTAAGCATTTTTCAATATAGCATTGTGAATGTAAAATTCATCAAATATAAGAGTTATGTCTTTTACCTCGTATGGCATTTACAGTCGTTCAAAGATATATTAAAAAGACTGTGGAGATGTTTTTTTTTATGTGCTAATAGTTAATACGCTACATAAAAAAGCAAACAACCCTATAGAAACATTAACTAACCGGTTTTCAATAACAAAATTCTTGCCTTTCAAATATTAATGAAAAGCCTAACGGAAATTGTCTTGGAATTGGCTTACCAAAATGTCTGCGATTGTTCCGGGGTTAGGTTATTCGATTTTAATTAATTAATACACCACTTAATCTACGTTAGTTTAAGTGAACGAGAGTGAGTATTTCAATTGGTTTTGTACCAAGAGATAATGTCCAAATAAGCTGTAATTAAAAATGAGAAAACTACATTATATATAATGCAAAGGCATTGAAATAGCCGAAACATTAATTGACAAATTTTCTCGATAGAAAAAGTTACGACGTAAATTCGCCTTCCCTGGTTCGATTCCCAATCGGGTCAATGTAGAAACAAAATTAACTTCTCTATATTGTCTCGGGTGTGTTTTTTCAAATACTCCAGAATACGAGGGCTTTGCTTTATCTTGGAATTTGAGCGATGGATGTGATGTTTTCTTAAATTTTTTTATTTCTTTTCTAAGATAGATAGATAAACACTTTATTGCACATATCATAATAACAATGTACAGATAATTTTATGGTTACAAGTGAGCAAAGGCGGTCTTAATACTATTTTATGTTATAGACAATATTGATAAAAATTTGAGTCACTTTGTAGTCATTGGTTTTAAGATAAACCTTTACAATAAGCGTTATAAAAACCCGATCTCACTTCACATTTTTTTTTCATCTATTTACTATAAAAAACACAACCCGCTTCTTCCCTAAACACAAAAAATAATCTTATTCATTAATTTTTTTATTGGCAGAACTTCAAAAACGCTGTGACTGTGCGTAACGCTACACACCACCATGGTAAACAGACCTTTATTACTAAGAAAGTTTTATGTGGAGTGCGATCGGTACAAAGTCCACAATGTGTAGTCTGACATGCAGCTTGTGCAGTGCAATACAGTATGTACTGTACGTCGGTGACTTTACTTAAAATTGTAAAATTGTAAGGTCATTTCTTCGTTTATTACTACTTATTATTATTACTATTATTAATTCAGGTGACATATATATAGGTCTTTTTTTATTTGATCAAATAGATATCTGTATTTTTTAATAGAAGTTGACTAAACGAAAATGTTATCATTAATTCATTCTAGACAGTATAAACTCGTGTATTTTATAATTAAATAAAAAACAAAGTAATTGTATTTCTTCTCGAAAACAAAACTATCTAATCTGAAATGGGGGTCAATGTAGCTGAGCTTATATATCAAAATTAAAAAAAAAACAAAAGAGTAATAGAAAAAAACAACGAAGGTCGCGTATGCTATCCACAACTACTAAATTAATAGAATTAGCTCCGTTCAAACTTAATAGTCAAATGTCACTATTTTTTTTTCAAGTTTTTTAATAAAAAATGGAGCTGTTCTAAACTCATTTTTTTAACTTTATTATCAAATTTTGAATACCTTAGAGGAATACAAATGAAACGAAACATTTCAATGTGTATAAGAACGACGTTGAAACCACAAACCCAGCGAGTCTCTCCAGACAAAATTCCTCCCAGCAAATGTTACCGCCAGAGAAATAGCGGACGCTACGTATAAATTCACGTTCAGTAAAATGTGAACTAAGATGTCTCGCATTGCATACACCAGACATTTCTCGTATATAAAATTTTGTATGAAATCCGCAATAAAAGTGTTTGAGGAGAAACGCAATAAAGATTTGGCATGGCTGCAATATTCGACGTAGGACACGCCTTCGTGGACTTTGAAAATTTAATAACGATAAGCTATTAAAATGGTAAATATCAATAGCAAACTGAAGTATCTTTTCACCAGCTTTTCTCTATGGATGGCATCGAATCCAATCGAATAAGGAACATGCGCATTTTCGGCTTAGTCTTCATATTTTCAATACGCCTTATATTCATTAAATTAATGAAATGATTACCTAACTTTTTTAATTTTATTTTAACAGTTTTTGTGTCGAGTCGTGTTGTACCTTTGGTCGGCTTTACCTATGGAAACCTTCGATAACACAAAAACTAAATACCAAAAATTCTTAAACAGTTCCTTAAAGTATTTTTGACTCTTGGTAATCCTGTTACCATTTAGCTTGATCTCAAATGTTTAAGTCAGTGCGTCGTTCAAGAAAATAGTCTATGAAAATAAATATTTATGTTTAATATCTATAATTAATGTTTAATATCTATGTGTGTTTTCTGAAATATAGATAAACATACGAGCACAACTTTATATGATTTACATAGTGTGTTATGTTGTTTTTGGTTGGGTATTAAATTTCGAAAGATATCCGTGATGTCTTTTTAAGGCAGAGGCAATGTTGAAGTTATAACCGTTATTTGTACCTATAGACACAATATTCGAACTCAGAATTGTATACTTTATATTAATTATTTATTTATTTTGTTTTCAAGTGCTTCGTAGTAAAACTGGGGTGAATCGCAATAAAATATGTTCAGAGACTCTTATAGTAGCAGTCAAAGACGGCAAAAGTAAGAGTTTAAGATGGCAAAATGTTTAGAGGAAGCTCCACCTACGCATAATGGGCTTAGATTTGATTGCTAATTTTGTTATCTCATGACTAGTCTATAAAATTCAAGTTTATTTGATTTTACTATATGTTTATATATTGAGTAATCGTAATATTAAAAAACTTAACTTAAAGTGTTCTGTATAAATATTTTTGCTTTCTATTAAAGTGTTATGATATTCAAATACTCTGTCCATAGGAACACTCATGTCAAAGGTACGTTTGGTCTTATCTATAGGTACATTCAATGTTTGTACCTGTGGACAAAGACTGCTTATTATAAAGAGTTAATTGCAATGTGCATTTTATTTTAATGTGCACTTAAAATAAAGAGTCTTTGCGAAAATAATAATTTTATTCTTAATTCTGAAAAACGTCGACAGTTAAAGAATAAAACAATACCTATTTAGAAAATTGTTAGGACATTAATTACTCAATATCTTTTTCTATGTATT